CAGGGTGCGTCGTGGGAAGGAGTTTACATAGACGACTTGCTGATCACCCAGAAGTGCCGCCTGAGTCACCCGGTCCCCCTAGATGGTAGCTTCAGCCCGCCGCCGCCTCAGGTTGACGACGTGGACGTGCTGAAGGTCAAGGCTGCCGAGGCCGCGTATGACGAGGCCAACCTGCAGAGGGCCTTGCGCAAAGAGTTTAGATTCGAGACCTCGTTCAAGGCATGGGGTGCCGAGATTGACGGCATTCGCGGCAGGGTGGGGGCTTTGTGGATGCTGCTGTACAAGATCCTGGCGAGTGGTTGGGCATGAAAAAGCGTACTCCGGACGATCCTCGGGTATTTGTCTTTCGTCTTTCAATATCGTCGAGAATTCTATAGCTTGAAACATCATGTGTACAAGTTTGTCGATGGCTTGCCTGAAGAGAAATGGGTGAAGTTGCCGTGTTACATCGCTGACGAATTGAGGTCCTGTTCCTTACATCTTCCCTTCGCCGCTTGGAGCATGAGGCAGGGACTTTCTCCCGTCATGGTGGCCACTGACGCCACACCTTCGTCAGGAGGAGCGGTTGCTGCGGAAGTTCCCACACCGTTGGCGGCCGAGCTGTGGCGGCAGGCAGAGATCACAGGCGAAGCCGTTCGGATTGACCGAGGTGTGGATGCAGATTGGGATGCGCTCGAGCCCAAGCAGCCTTCGGTGTTTGCAAGCTCGGTGGCCGAATGTTTACCATGGCGAGTGACGAGTTCATATAGCTTTAAGCAGACTTCCCATGTGAATCTTCAGGAACTTCGAGCTCTGCGTCGTGAAGTCATTCGTTTGGCTGCCCATGGCAAACTTCGAGGCACCATCCTGATTGCACTGAATGACTCCCGGGTTGTGGTAGGTGCGGTTGCTAAGGGAAGGTCGTCGAGCTTCAAGTTGAATGGCCTCCTGCGTGGCATGCTCCCGCATTTGGTCTTGGGCCAAATTTCCTTGGCTGTGCTTTGGATTGAGACGGCTGCTAACCCAGCGGACCACCCTTCCCGTTTCAGGTCACTTCCTCCTCCACGACGACCACGAGACTGGCTTCGACGGTTTGGGGTTTGTGTGAGCAAGGACTTTAAGGGCCTGGAGGTGTTTGCGGGAGTGGCGGGCATCTCCAGAGCACATGTTGTGGCGGGCTTGGACATGGGGCCTCCGGTTGATGTGCTCTACGGTTCGGATGCCAGGGCTGCTTGGATCGATGATTGGATCCGTCGGGGCCTCGTTCAATGGTTGTGGTTTGCGCCGCCTTGCTCTTCCTTCAGTGCGCTCCGGAACCTGGGTCGAGGTGGACCCCTGCGAGGAAGGGGATGCATCGAACCCGGAGGTCGCTCTAGGCAATGAACTTTGGGAGAGGGCATTGTCCTTGGCTTGGCAGGTCATGGATGCCGGCGGCTTCTTCATACTTGAACATCCCAGAGGGAGCAAGGCCTGGCAGCTTGAGTCCACACATCGGTTGTTGTCCCATGATGCCGTGCACTTGCTGCGGATTGACTCCTGTGCCTTTGAAGATGCATTGGGGAAGCATGGCACTCAGAAACCCACTCGGTTGATGACCAATGCACCTTGGGTTCAAGCTGTCTGTCGTGTTTGCCCGGGCAATCACAATCATCCACCTTCTCTGCGAGGATTGCGGGCCAAGAGGGCGGGTGCATATCCTTGGAGCTTTTGCTGTGAGTTGGCTGATGCCCTCTCACGGTGGAAGGCTGCGCAGTGCTAATCTGACCCCTTCCTACCGCCAGCGCTTGCGGGTGGCTTCTGTCTGGCTCTTTGACTTGGCCTGCAGCTTGGGAGCTAGACTGACGCGAAAGACGCCGGCGCCCGTGATTGACCGAGTCCTGGAACGCTGCATCGATGTGGCCTACCAGAATGGCGAGAAGCTCTACTTTGTGAGGCTGGGGCTCATTGGCTTGCAACGCGCCTGGCACCTTTCTGGCCC